ATGTTGTTGTGGTGATTCATGGGCAAGCCCGTGGTATAAGGCATTTTGTTGAATCATCGTCACGAGAGCGGGCTTGATTTCAAAGTTGTTGGCGGCCACGGGTGGATGTAAGATGGGAGATTAGATATCCGTCGGGCGTGGAACCATGTAATAGCCCATAGTCCTTGCCTCTTCCTCGGCCCCCACTTCTACATTTGCATTCGGGGCCGGATTTGCAGCTTGAGGTTGATTTGCCGCAATCTCAACTTCAACTCCTTCAAATCCGGGACCAACTTGTTGTCCCCTCTCTTCACTTATCCTTCTTGCCTCTGCTAGCTCCCTCTCTCGAGCTAAGAGTCAAAGAGTCCAGTTGATCTCCTCGTCCAGTGGTATTAAAGGTGCTGGATTGCTCCGGGTCATGCACCTCCCTACACACACTTAAAGAACACAACACGTCTAGCACAAGAAAACACTTCACAACTTAACAAAACAGAAATTAAAAGCTAGATTAACACCAAACAAATTTTCCACGATAATGGACATTCGTCCCCGGCAACGGCGCCAAAAACTTGGCTCGCTCTGACTATCACAATAAAATCTCACCTAAGGTCCAAGTATAAACCTTAGATGGGTGCAATATAGGGCAAGTATGTTTAAATATCGACCTGGGTTGGTCCATGTACCGCTACTTCAACTGTTTGAAACATTATCTAGCTAATTAGTTTTGGTGAAAAATAAGGTCTAAAACTAAATTGCTTTACAAAGGTTAAACATATTTAACTCTAGTTGAGAAAGCTTCACCCGGATGTTGCTCCCCCTAGCTAACAATTACGACTAGAAGAATCGAACGATCGTGTGTGGTTAGGGGGTCATTAACCACAGGGAAGTCTAACAAGCAGGCAAAGCTACCCTCTTAGCCTCTAGGTTGAGGAATGAGATACGATCCAAGCCACTAATATGATCATCTCAACCTATCGACTAAGGAATGGTTAGACTTCACCCTCGAATTGGAGTTCGGACGGCCACCCACAATCAAACACTAAGTGATAATCCAAAATAGGGGGTTGCCCTTTAACTAACCTAGAATAGGAGGCATAGATTTCCCAAGGAAACCCATCTCAAATAGAGCCTCTTAGGTAAAGGAGGGTTCTCTCTAAACTAGCTTAGGAGGCATTGAATGCCCAAAAACACCCATTTCCAATGGAACCTCTTAACCTAAGGAGGTCTCCTCTCTAAACTAGGTTAGAATGACAATTAGATTGATAGGCTTTCACACAACACAATCATTTTTGAATAATACCTCCACATTCACATTAAAACACAACCACACACAAATCATTCAATTCATACAAGTATTTACATAATTGTAGCTAGGGTTTACAAACGCCAAAGTGAAAGAAGGGACTACTCCATGCTAGGAGAAGGGAAAACACAAGAGAGGGAAAGGAAAACCATCAAGAAGATGCAAGCCTTGCTCCTTGTTCTGGAAAAAAATCCTCATTTGGGGGAGGAATTCCCAAAACCTTGCTTGGAGATGAAACCCTAGCTTTTCCTCTTCTTTGGTTCGTCACTTTCTCACTCTAAAATCTTAAGAAGGAGAAGTTTCTCACACTAGGTCTCTCGCCCCTTTCCTTCTTCCTTTCAGCTGCCTTTTAATTGAGAACGTGCCCAGTTCACGGCTGTGAACATTGAAACGCGTTTGTGAACTCAGTGCTGAGACCAAAACACACCGCTTCATTGGCTCGGGTTCACGGTCTATGGCTTCTGTTCACGGTGTTAGGGATCCTGAAAAACCTGGCCGTCAATAACATGAAAACCCTCTCTGGTCGCTCATTGGTTCACAGGTTTTGGCTCTAGTTCACGGTCTTGTAAGACCGTGAACTCCAACGTCAGGCCGTGAACATTGTCTGTCTCCTCCTCTTTGCCCGTTCTTTGTTCCTTTTCTTCCAACTTTTGACTCCGGGTTTGGTTTTACCTGTTAGGATCTGAAACACACTGAAACGCAAGAAACCTCGCGTAAAACCAATCGTTTTGGAGTTCAATTGCAACAAACGTCAAAGAGAATCGGGGATAAAAAGTGTACAATTAGGCCTGAATCAGTGGACGAGTTCATATATAGAGAGCTATGTGTTGAGTTCTACTCCATTTTCATCCACGAGATACCCAACAATAGAAGGAACATACCATATGTGGAGTTTATGTTGGGAGTTCAGCATCACGTGCTGGCCTATCACGGGTTTTCTCAGGCTATTGGACTTGACACCGCCGATATGACGATGACAGAGTGGGAGTACACCAGAGACTGCCACTACCATGAGGCATACAGTGCTATCTGCCGGCCAGATAATCGAGACCACTAGTTTCGTGCCTCCAACACCAATGTTGTGAAGTTCCGGACACAATGGAGAATCCTGCACACGCTGCTCACCTAGTCGGTGATCCATAGTCTTTAGTCAGGGCATATGGTCACCAACAGGGGGTTGATTGCCCTCCATACCTTGAGCCGATCCACAACACCACTTCATCTAGGATGGTGTGTTAATGCAGAGATATTCAGTGAAAAAAGTGTGGGAGTCGATAAGAGAGAAGGACGTGAAGGTTAACTGGTTCCCTCTGGTAAGGAGTAAAGAGATTATTCCCAAATATGGATTCGCCTTGTGGATGGCTATTCGAAATCGATTGGCATTTCAGGACAAGTTGAAACAGTGGGGTAACGATGTCACATGAGTTTGTCTATTATGTCGTTGTGGGATTGAGGATCAAAATCACCTTTTCACTCAATGCCCTTACATAGTTTTTGTATTACATAGTTGCCTACAGAAAAGAGCTCCTCCTCCCCATCTTGATTGGCTGGTTACTTTAGAATGGTGCGTGCAGAACTGGTCTAAAAAACATTTGCAGTCAGAATCTATCACTTGATCTGGTGTGTCTCTTCGAGCTTAGTTTGGAGAGAGAGGTGTTGCAGATTGCATGGTGCAAGGCGAGCTAAATTTCCGGAATGCTTAGTCATGAAGTGCAGAGTGCAGTTCGGTGTCGAGTGGCAGGGATTCTGGACCTCCAAAATGATTTTGGCAGCCTGGAGTTTAGATGGTAGTTAGTGACACTAATAGGGTTTTCTTTCACGGAAAGTTCTTTCTTTTGTTCATCTGTTGATGCTTGGCAAAACTGAGGTTTGCGAGGCTGCTGGGATCTTTTTGCCCTGTAAGTCGGTTCTTAATATTATTTTTTATTTGATTATAAAAAAATTAATTTTAGGACGACGAATAGCAATTTAGTTTTTTATAGTTGGGTATTGAGAATTGAAGTTAATGTAGGAGGGTGCATACCCTTATCATCGGTGTCCTTTTCTTAGCCTATTTTGTGGTTAGTTTTTTTTCCGTAGAAATGTTAGTTTTTCTTTGACATTTTGTTTCAGGTTAATTTGAGAAATTTGTGGTTGGGCCTGAGATTAGGGCTGCAAATGAGTCGAGTAGAGTTTTACCCCAGTTTGAACTCGGGTCGTTTATTAACGAGCCGAGTCGAGTTCGAGCTAGCTTGCTTAATAAATCTTGACTCGTATTTGATATGTTCATTTTGTATGCTATACATGATACATGTAATTAATATCAAGATGATGATGATGATAATAATAATAATAATAATAAAGTGTTCAATATTAATTAATCTCATGTTATATAATAATAATAATAATAATAATAATAATAAAGTGTTCAATATTAATTAATCTCATGTTATACTTTGCGGTATCAAATTATTTAGTTAATAAATTTTAACTAGTGAAAATTATGTTATTTCATAGTATTGAAGCAATCTATGATACATAATTTCTTTTTAAAATTAGAAAAGACATATTTGCCCACATAATCTACGTGTTAAACTTCATGTAGGGTGAGATATATAAATTAACAATCCTATGAATTATCAAAATCAAACTTATATAGATATATTCACTCATAATTCGGTAATCGAGTTGGCTCTCTAGCCACAACGTTGAGAGTTGAGACATCTCATAAGCTCTAAACGAGCCAGAGCACCAGTTGAGCTCAACAAGCCACCAAGTTGAGCTAGCACGCGAGCTGCAGAAGGCTAAACTCAAGTTCAGCTCATTAGTAAACAAGCTAAGTTTCGAACGAATTTTTTCCGAGTCGAGCGTCGAACCGCTCACAAACAACTCGTCTCATTTGCAGCCCTGACATACATTTCATTATAATTAATTTTATTAATAATTAGCATCCCTTTTTGTCGGATACACTACTGTAAAGTAGAGATGGCAATGGGTCGGGTTTGGGGCGGATTGTACTAAACCCATCCCCATACCCATTTTCAATTATCAAATCCATACCCTCCCCATCCCCATGCGTGGGGAGATTTTGCATCCCCATCCTCGCGGGTTTCGTATACCCGAGGGTAATCCCCGCCCCATACATATGATTATGATTATAACTAAATTAACACACTTGAATTAAATAAAAAATATAACTATTGGGTTGAAACATCAAACCTAATTAATGATGAACCTAATAAAGAACCAATGTTAATCTTAATTAGATCATCCAACTCCTACGAAGTTCCATAAACAAAGTACCAATAAATAATCCAACACCAAATTATTCATCTCCAAAACACCTCCTAAACAATAAAAATCCACACATAAAAGTCAAATTATCCTCCAAAGTTCTTATTTCGTAAAGAAACAAAACCTATCAATCATTATAGAAAAAAGAAAGTATATTAATGATGAAAGAACATAAAAACTGACACCTACAACTCCTACGTTACAATAGTTATATTTTATAATATATGACATAAGTAAAGATGGGGCGAATATGAGTATGGGTATGGGGCGGAGGCACTCAAATCCATTCCCGCCCCATTCCCACAAGCGTACCCAGTCAATACGGGAATTCCCCTCGTTAACCGGGTTGGGTAGAATCGAATACCCGCGGTTATGACTATCCCTACTCTACAGCAAGCAAATCTCCGTAATCAGGCAGAAACCTCGGAATGCCGAAAAAGGCCATCTAAGCTTAAAACCTAAACGTGGGTTTGTGGACAGAAAATCGGGGGACAATTCTGTCATTCCGACAACGGTAATAATAATGACACTTTTGAATATTTTAGTTTTATTTATCTCTTTTCCCTTCTCTCTCCCCCGGTTCGGTTTCCTCTTCCCCCATTATTTTTTTCTTGCCTTCAAAGTCTTCCTTCATTCTTGCCCCAGATTCACACAAACCCAACAAACATTCTCCGCTCCCTCAGCCAAAGAGAAAGGAAGAAATTTCTCGCCTCTCCCCCTCAATGACGGATTCAATGGTGCCGCTGAACTCTCATGGGTTCCATTCATCCACCTCCGCTCAATCCAAATCCGTTAAGACTAACCCATCTCTATCACCCACCGGCAAATCTTCCTCCTCCTACGCTCCCCTCCTCAGTAAGTTGTTCATTTTCCTGCTGTTTCTCCTCGCTATCCCGCTATTGCCCTCTCATGCTCCGGAGCTTTTCAACGGAAGTTTCCTCTCCAACCTCTGGGACCTTGCCCAGCTTCTGTTCGTCGGCGTTGCAGTGTCTTATGGGCTGTTTAGTCGTAGGAATGCTGAACTGGATTACTTTGATAATGCCCTATCTACTGTCGACGAGTCTCAGTCTTCCTTTGTGTCTAGAATCTTTCAAGTCTCCCCGCTATTTGAAGAATGCTACGAGGTTCCATCTGGGTCCGTGGAGAAAACCATTTCCCATGCTACTACCGGGGCAGTTCATCAATCTGTGGCCACTTATGCTTGCTATGATGCCTACGCGCAGCATCAATCAGTGGCTGTGGAGAATGGGTTTGAAATGTCTGGTGGGGACGAGGTTATTCAGGCTTGGAGTTCTCACTGTTTTCATGGTGAATCAATGGTTGTATTGTCTCAACCTAATACTGGATTGGATGAGTTAGGTCAATGTGAAAAAAGAGGGAGCAGCCGCAAACCCTTAGGGTTGCCTGTTAGGAGTTTGAATCCAAGGGTTAGCGAGTTCGTTATGCCTGATGTTGGTAATGTGGGTGTGCCTGCTGCTCAGGGCAAGAGGGATGATACATCTGACTCAAGTGAGGGATTGTTTGGGGAAGTAGGTCCTGTTAATTTAGAGGAGAAATTTAAGCGAACCGTTGATTATTCTGAACATTCTTGGGGTTCAAAATCTGGTATGATGGAAAGGAAAGAGACAGGTAAGCTGGGTGCTGATCGTGATGGTCATTTTAGACCTCTATCGGTTGATGAAATTCAGTTCGAGTCTCTCAAGTCAGAGTCTTTTGGCTTGTCTAAGGATCCCTTCTCCGCCAAGGCTAGGTTAATGCAGCATTCGGCAACCACTCAGTATCTTTCAGTCCCTCTTTCTTCCGACCCACCTAACTCATATATTGAAGAATCAGGTGTTGAAAAGAAGCCCTTTCCTGCTTCTTATCCTCCTGTGACTATTCTGCCATCTGCTAAAGTGAGTGGTGACTCTCCATTGAATGCATTTCATTTGAGGAAATATAGTAATGGGGGTGGCTCTTTGTTCAAAAAGGAATCACAGGGAAACTTGAGGGGTGTGTTAAAGGAGAAGGATTTGCGTAGCGCAGGGGATGCGTTGAAAAGTTCGGTTCAGTACAAGAGAGATGATGAGGACATAGTGAAGAAGAACCAAAGGTCTGTGAAATTGGAAAATAAAGTGGAGGATGGCTTAGCGGCAGCTAAGCGTTCACCAAAAGGTAGATCTGTGAGGACAATTAGATCTGCTTGTAGTGCTACTACTACTGAGGTGAAACTCAGTTACCTAGATGGTGAAGTTAGGAAAGCATCTGCTGAGACTGAAGCAGTAAATACCATTAAGCGGAATCACGTTGCTGCAAAGGTACCAAAGCCAATGTTGCTTCCAGAATGCAAGAGGAGAGAGAGTAGGAAATCTTCTGCTGCTCCTGTTAACTTTGTTGATGAAGTTGGGAAAACATATGGTGAAACCGAAGGAGGAGGCACCAGTAAGAAGAATGATGTGGGGCAGACAGCAAAGGAGCCATTTGCAGAATACAAGAAGAGGGACAGTAGGAAATCTTCTGCACGTGTTTCTGTGGAGCCTGATGAATATTTGGAGAGTAAGAAGGACAAGTTTCAACTTTGTTTAGATCAACAGCGAATGGTGGATAACAGTGGTGAAGTGGGACATGACCATGACCCCAATGAGGTAGATAGGAAGGCTGGAGAGTTCATAGCCAAGTTCAGGGAGCAAATTAGGCTTCAAAAAGTTGCATCAGTTGAAAGATCGAGTAGGAAGCGTGGAATTGGGAAAGACTACTAGGTGAAACGTGTGGACGTTCTTGTTATTTCTTCTGTTCTATTCTGTAGATAAACTTATGAAGCTTTTGTGCAAGTTCCTTGGTCCTCCACCAGCGGGTGTAATGGAATCACGATTTTATAGAATTCATGTGAACTACATTGAAGTCTATCTTGATTTGAGCATGCTTTTTACGCATTTAGGTTCTTCCCACAATACCAGATCTCCTGCATTTATATTGAACGAAAATATAAGGGTCTGACAGAAACCCATAGTTTCTTCGGATATGAGATAGGGATTAGAGTATCAAAATTAGAGATAAATTAATTTGGGATTGTGAGATAGAATAACGATTTCAATCCGAGGAACATAATTGAGAATTAGGGGTTAGAATACGATATTGGGTAGAACAGGGGAGAATGGTCAACGGCCTTGGAGAGAGGAGAGTCGAAATTTAGAGGATTGGGAGAATAGGGTTTTTAGGAGAGGGATACATAGATTTAACTTCGTTGTTTTCTTCTTTCACCATTTAGACGAAATACACAAACTAGGAAATTACCTAAAAAATCTAATACTATTAACTTTGATATAATAAATATCCTATTAGTAAGTATAGAGTGAATAGCATTTTATGCCTCTATATTATTGAAAGTTAGCAAAAGTACCCCTATACCTTCTTTTTTTTTTTTGAACATGCTCTTGTACTATGAAAATTGTAATAAGCGTACTTTCATGTCAAAACTTCTGTTAATTGATTGTTAAAAGGGATTGAAAATGACTAGTTTATCCCTCCTTGTACATTTTTTGATTATTTTTCAAAAGAAAAAAAATTAATTTAATTTTCTAGTTATCTTTTAGATTTTTTTTTTCTTCCCTTGGTAACGACGAAGGGGCCAATTTGTTTCCTCTTCGTCACATGCATCCAAGCCATCGCCAATACCTTCATCATCACCTTCGACAACTCAGGCGTCCGGCTTCTCCAATCGGCCCCCAACCTGTTCCCCAACCGTAGATGTAACAGCTGGGGTGGAGAATCTCGAGAACTCGACGAGATAACAATGGCAACCTCTGTTTTGTGTTAGAATAGGGAGTCATTGGAAGCTTTGGAGGGAAAGCTTGTTACGCGTCGATTTGGTCGAGAGAGAGAAGGGAAGAGCGAGAGAGAGAGTTGAGTTGTATTGGATAAGGATGTCGTTACAGTGGGGGCCTGGATCCTCTACTTATACGAACTGTTTTGGCCAATTACACATGTAGTCACGATATATTTGTTCTCTCTAAATCCTCTCACTTTTATTCTTCTACATTCTAGTCCAGACTGTTACAAGTCTCCCTCCTTCACTGCAGACTTGTCTTCAAGTCTGGAACCCAGGGTATTTAATCTTGAATTTGTCGAGGAACTCCCAAGTGGAGTCAGCAGTGTCTTGATGTGTCCAATGAACCAACACTTGACTAGCAGGTTTGTTGTCACGGGCTACTACCTTCCTTGCAAGGATCTCCATTGACTCAACCTTGAGGCTTCCCTAATTGGCATAATCTGGTAATGCAGGCTACACTGACACTTGGACCCAAGCTCCTTTCTTGAGGAGCGATATGTGGAACACAGGTTGTATAGTGGAGGCAGGAGGAAGCTGCAGACGGTATGCTATGTAACATCCCAGACCTTTTTTCGACGAAGATATTATCTGCTTTAGGCCTCGACCCTCACGGTTTTCGACTTGGGGTGCAATTGAAGGTGACTTCCCATAAGATCACCCATCCTTGTTGTACTCCACACTGAGCACGTTTAACTTCGGATTTCTCACAAGAACTCCTCCAAAGATTGTCTTGTATATATATATTTAGCATGCTGGACATTGGCTGGTGCTGGCGCATGATTTGGGTGAAGGTTTAGGCATGGGGTTGAGTGAAGCCAATGGACATGTGTCAACTTGGAATGTGAACAAATGAGGGAATTAACATGGGATGTAGTACATCTTCTTAAAGTCAACATCAACATCAACAAAAGTTTGAAAGGTAAGCGTAAAGGGGTAATATATCAGTCGAGATCTTTCACTTTATGCTTTTACATATAGTAGTTTCGTTAATTTATGAGTTTGCGCGATTATGTGTGTGTGAGGCATCCCATCGCCTACTTAAGGTCGAGACACGCGTTGTGCTATGTATGTGAAGGTATGTGGTAATGTATGGTCTTATTTAAGTAATTGAACCCCCGGGCAGTTGGGACACTATTGAACAAGTATGTTTTAATTTTCAAACCCGGGCTGGTCCATGTACCCTTACTTCAATCGCTTATGTTGTTATCTAGCAAACGATTTTGGGTTTTAAAAGCTAAGAAAACTACAAAATGAAAACAAGCAAGAAAGTAAATCGAGGTTGTCCCAATGAGAGAAGGATTCACCCGGGTATCGCTCCCCCTAGCCTCGTATCAAGATTGACCATACCCGAATGCAAATGTGTGAAGTTGTGTTCATACACCTTTATGAGGGCACAACAAGTGAAGGAAACCTCACTCTCTTAATCAATCGTTTAATGAAAACAATTAAGCTAGAACCCTAGCTCTCTCAATCAATGGATTAAGGTTTGCTACAATAAACTAGGAAGTCTAACTCTCTTAGCCTTTCGGCTAAGGATTGCAACAATAAGCTAGGATTCCTAGCTCTCTTAACCGATTAACTAAGGTTTGCAAGCACCAATAAAGTGTTCAATCGAAGGTTGAGGTTTTCCCTAATTCGCCCTAGGTAGGTGGCTCGATTGGCCAAGGAATCCAGCTTATCAGAGTCTCCTAACAAAAAGGGATATTCCCTCTACCTAGGTCAAATTGGCATAATAATGAGAATGAAGAACATAATCCAAACATCATGAAAATACTTCAAACTTTGCATTAACCGATTAACTAAGGTTTGCAAGCACCAATCGCACGGAACCTAACCCGAACGGCAAAATAAAGTGTTCAATCGAAGGTTGAGGTTTTCCCTAATTCGCCTCAGGTAGGTGGCTCAATTGGCCAAGGAATCCAGCTTATCAGAGTCTCCTAACAAAAAGGGATATTCCCTCTACCTAGGTCAAATTGGCATAATAATGAGAATGAAGAACATAATCCAAACATCATGAAAATACTTCAAACTTTGCATTAAACACAAACTCACACACAAAGCATTCAATTAATACCATCTATCACATATTTTAAGCTAGGGTTCACAACACCCAAGTGAATAGGTAGGCTATTCCATAGCTAAGCAAAGGAAAACAAGAACGAAGAGATAAAGAACCATGAAGAGATGACAATCTTCCTTCCTCCTTGCCTGAATCTCCCTTGAGAGGTAAGAATCTTCACTCATCTAGCTTAGGACAAGCTCAATCTCGTTCTTCCTCCTTGGAATGACACTTTCTCTCTCTAGAATAGGAAGAGGAAACCCTAATATCTCACTAGAAACCCTCCTTTATTCTAAAAACTAAAACCCTAGAAAAAGTCTCTTTTCTCTCTCCCAGTAGCCTTCTATTTATAGAGCCCGATAGTCACTTTTCACGGTCAGAAGTCACGTTCGTGACATTGGAGCCCTAACCTTGACATTGGACCAAAACGCAGGTCTCGGGTGTCGTTTTGGTCAACACCACAGCCTGAGGATGATTTTCACGGTCTCGGGACTGTGAAATTCTTGAGGCCCCGCGAGACGCCAAAACCTTCTGATTCAGATCAAATGTCACGCCATGGGCTCAAATGTCATGGCCAGGAGACCGTGACAATTAGCCCTAGCCCGTGACTTTTGACTGTTCTTCACTTTTTGATGCTTTTCGACCTCCAATCGTCCCAAAATTTGTCTCGAACCTTCCCACACGTACTGGGACCTGAAATGTATCAAAACAAGCACAACGTAGCATAAAATAGGTCAATGGACGGTGATCTACTAAGCTAAATGGACAAGAAATGAGGGGTAAAACATGTACAATTGGACCCGAATCACACCCCCACACTTGAACATTTGCTTGTCCCCAAGCAAACCAATTTCAAACAAGGTAATATTTCAACCTAACTACAAAAACTTGGGGAAAAATCAAAGGGCACAAAATGGATGAATCTCAATGTTTATTTGGCATCGTCATATGAACCATCACAAGCAATACCGTCATCCACCACAAACGACATTCGAATGCATTAAGAACGTGCAAACGAAAAGTTCTCACCCTGTTGACAAATCAATACAAGTCTTGACCGGACTTCTCAGCAACCACAACTATCCATGCATAGAACTCAAGTCCAAGGAACAAAAGAAAGGGCGACAAAGGTCCTCGTCGAGATAAGATATGAACATGCAAAATGTGAATGAATCACTCGCTCTCGACTAGTGGGTTCAGGACCTTTTGGAGCAAAATATGTCCAAAATCATCAACACTCAACCCTATCATCTCTTCATCATGCCAGCAACCTATAAATGTTAGAGTTCACGGGATGGTTGTCATCACTAGCTTGTCCATAGGTCTTAGACACGGGTTCAAATGATCGGCAATGGTCTTGGACATGGGGAAAAGGTCTTTTGGGTGGTGGCAAACATAGCATGAGGTCCTACATCTTCAACCTAAAACCAAAGGTTCTATGGTTTCGACTAAGAACCTTTCCTACAAACAAAGGCCACTAGCATTGGCCAAAAACCACACTTACCTGCTTCCATACCACTACCAATCACGAACTACATTCAAGCACACTTATTTGGCCTATCTTGCTATCCACAACTCAATCATAGTAGTGAAGGAGGTCAACGAACAATTAGGTGTTTCAATGGCTTGAGTGCCAAAAAAACCCTTTCTAGAGCATACACTTAGACTTTTGTGGCAACTCTCTACTTTTATTTACCCCGTTTAATTACCTCTTTTCGTTTCCTTTTTTCTACTTTCTACTTCTTTTTCTTTTCTTTCTCTTTTTTGTAGGGGGTACTAGAAAGTTAAACACTTTCCACCTTAACACTTAACGAACAATGCTCTCTAGTAAGAACTTTCTCCAACACTACTTCTTCATTCCTAGCAAGAACAGTGCAAAATCCACCGATGTAGAACCTCAATGGAGCTCAGAAGCAAAAGCTCCGGGACACAAGGATGACTCACAACGGTTTAGACACGAAGAAAGGATGAGGGGTCATTTTATCAATCACCATTAAGCTCACAGGCAACAAGCTCCTAACATGAGAATGACCCCCAAAGTCACACGGCTCAAAAGGGTTGACTAGGGGATAAAATATTTCGAGACAATCAACTTTTGGGCTTGGACTAATCCTATGCCTCCATCATACTCACTAGTGACAACGGTGAATGTTGCTTTCCGTGGTAAGAGGGATCTATCACACATGAAAAAGACTATCGGCACAAAACTCAC